AGGAATGCCAGCTATTTCCCTCGCAATAACCCAATGCAACTGGCTGGAGATGTGTATTTATTTGCTTGCTGCGTGGAGCAGAGAGACGCAGCTCACCACGAGCGGGGTATTCCCGTGCCCTCGGAGCAAAAGCGAGGGAAAAAATAACCCACGGTAAAGAAAATAAAAATAATAACAACACGGGGACCCTCCTGTTTGGCTGCCTCTCGTCTGCACAGCCAGAAACGGCTCCGAGGAAAGTCGGCACTGAAACCTCCGCCGTATGTAGGTGTAAACTCATCTGAGCGCCTTGCTGTAGTTTCTTTCACTTTATTTAATTTGTTAGAAGCGGGTGGAAACCTTCGGGCTCTCACTTTCCCGCAAACGCTTCAATTTCCAAGCTCTACAATTTCAAGGCGTTAATTAATTGTGATACACTATTTTTATATGCATATTTGCTCGTGAGCTTCCCAGTAATCGACGACTTGCTTAACGGCGCTAAAATAAATGAGAAAACCCTGAAAGAAACGAGGCGCTGCTGAAATCTGCGGAGATTTGCCTCGTGCGCCTATTTTTTTTCCTAAAGAAAAACCGAGGTTCCGTAAGGCCCCTGGACGTGCTCCGTGAGTTTGTTCAGTCCCCCTCGCTTTCCCAGCTCTCAGCAGAAACGCTTTTCCCCCGCCGCAGTTTTAACCCAGCCCCGGTAGCCGGACGGCGGTGCCGGAGAGCGGCGCCCCGAGTCCGCGGCGAGGGGCGGCTGCAGGCGCCGCCGCGCAGGGCAGCGCCGCAAGTGCGGAGCAGGGCAATCGACAGGTGCTTTGCGAGCGTGACCGGAAGGAGGGATTATTATTATTATTATTATTATTATTATTATTATTATTATTATTATTATTATTATTATTATTATTATTATTATTATTATTATTATTATTATTATTATTAGATATAGGCATCCGGCCTGGGTGGACACGGGCGGATGCGTGGGTCGTTGGCCGTCCCCCGACGTGGGAGACGTGGGTCCTTCGCCTTCTTTTGGGAAAGACTCGGCGCGGGTGATGCTTTCGCTGAGCGGGGAATGATGGTGCCAACGTGGCGGGGACAGGCTCGTCGAGGCGGGGCGACGTGGCGGACACTGGGTCCAGCTCACGGCGAGGCTTGGACGGGCGTAAGAGGCACCAGGGAGGTGCTGCCTGGATCCTCAGAGCCCTCTGTTTCATCCCCGATCGGAGAGGACCAGGGAAAGCCTCCCACGGCAGCCCGATCCCATTCGTCGGAATTCGGCGCCCTGAGGCCAGTTAGACGGGCTCGGATACAGACTCGGACCTGGCTCTCCTCTTCCATGGGGCTACAGCTGCTTTATATACTATTGTTATTAATATTAATAATAATAATTTTGGTAGAAGGAGAGGCAGGACCAGGGCTTGGGAAGGGGCCGCCTGCCCCTCTGCCCCGTCGAGGCAGCGCTTGGCTCCGTGTCCCTGCGAACAGGGCCGGGGGCCACCCGGCCCCTCCAGGTGAGCCCGCACAGACTGCCCGGCGCCCCGGCCCTCGGCCCTAATCCCGCTCCGGCTGATTTGTGAGCCCTGCACGGGGGCGGGCGCGGGGGCCAGCGCTGCCCGGGACGCCCCATCCTTGGGGGGCGGCTGAGCTGTCCCCTCCCCACAAACATCAAGGAGAGAGATAGAAAGGTAGAGACAAAGAAAGAGAGGAAAAAAAGAGAGAAAGAAATGGAGAAATAGAGAAAGAAAGAGAGAGCGAAAGGAGGAGGAAGAAAAGAAAAGAAAAGAAAAGAAAAGAAAAGAAAAGAAAAGAAAAGAAAAGAAAAGAAAAGAAAAGAAAAAGAAAAGAAGAGAGGAGGGCAGAAACGTACCCCGTTCTGCTGCACAGCGATAGACAAGACGTATTCCGAAGGGGACCCGTGGGGTTCGGGTCCCCTCTTCTGTCCGGGCGGGGGAGATGGTAATTAATCAAATACATCCCCCCTCCTCCGTGCACCTCCCCCGGGCTGCAGCATCCTCCGCCGAGGCAGCTCTGCTCCCGCCGCCCCGGCCCGCGCCCGCTCCCGCCCGCGCCGCGCAGTCCCGGCCGCAAAGAGAAACCCATCGAGTATTTGGCTCCGGCAGCCCCGGCCGGCGGCCTCCGGCCACTTCCCAGCTCTGCCCCCGGTTCCCAAACGAACCCCTCGGGAGGGAGGGCGGGCTCCCTGAGCGGAGCTGGGAATGGGGGCACCCGCAAAGGGGAGCTTCGGGAGGGTCCTGCGGGGTTTGCATCCCACATGTCCCATCCACAGCCCCCTTCCACATGCCCTGCTCTGCACCTCCCCATTTGCACCTCCAGATCACATCACCTGGTCGCACTCCCTCCCCTATTTTTCCATCCACATCCCCCCATCTGCACCCACCATCCACATCCCCCCCAACTGCACCCATCACCTGAATTCCCCTCATCTGCATCCCTTCCGTCCTCTCCCCAGCCCCTTCCTACCGAGTCACCAAGCGGTCAGTATGACCACTCCCCAGGGATCAGGACATCAGGCACCTTCAGTGGCCGAGGCCAGGCTGATTTGCAGGACAGCGCTGGAGAGAAGGGAGAGGTGATGGATGTGGACAGGGCTGGGGGAGGCCCCGGGCAGTGAGGGGCTGTGGGCAAAGTCTGGGAGCCCCCAGCCCTGGCCAGGCAGTGACAGAGCAGCTTTGTGTCTAGAGGAGCAGGGGGCTGTGGCTGGAAAGGGTTAAACCAACAGCGAGCCCCAATGAAAAATATTTATCTCTTGCAATATGCTTGTGGCAGTGGCTCTCAGGGAGGGGGAACTATGAAAAAGAGCAGAGGAAAGTCTTGCAAATCTTTCCCCCTTTTACCTTGGGATCCTGATTTCTTCTTTAGTCCATGAGGATTTCATTGGTGCAGAAAATAAAAGGATCCCATCGAGGCAATGCTGCCTGTTGTCCCCTCCAGATCCTGGGACAGGGAGGCATCACCCTCAGCCTCCCACAAGTCAACAGTAGATACAAAAGTCACCTCACTTCCTTCAATATATAGAGGGAACAACATGCAGACCACTACTTGTGTCTCCAAAAAAAGGGTAACTTGGCATGCCTTTCCTAAAAGCAAACTTTGGGAGATTTTTGTCCCAATTGTTCTAAATGTCCCTCTGGGCTGATTTAACAAAAAGCGCTGAGTTTCAGAACAATCACAGAGTCCTAAAGCACCAGCTTTAGATGCAGGCCAGTTGCATGGCCTGGCACTGGCAACATCCCCTGTACCAAGGACACCCCAAAGGGCACGGAGGGCTAAAAGGCACCACTGTGTCCAGGCAAGGTGAGGTGTCCGGGTGTATTTGATGCTGGGGGCTCCGAAGGATGCTGATGCTGGGGGTGGGCAGCACATGCTTTCCAGGAGGGGGGTCAGGATCTCACCCTCATGGAAATCACAAGGAATTTTACCCTGAGAAGGAATAGGGAGTGACTCAGGGTCTGGCCATGTGTGCAGACTGGGGGCAGCTCTTGTGCGTGCAGCCCTAGGTGCATGCAGATGCTCATGGACTTGAGAGCAGAGCCAGCAGCGAGTGTCCAACCTGGCCACCCGGCCCTGCTCGGCATGAGGGAGAAGGTGAGAAATCCACGCTGTGAAAATGGAAACTATTTCCCGGATAAACTCAAGCCCAGATGTGTGGAGCTGTTGGGCTGGCGCTGGCGATGCCAGCCCGGT